CTGGGAAGTGGTGCTCGGGATAAGACGAATTTGTCAATCAACTTCCTCACATGTGACCTCGATAGGAAAGGCTATGATTCATCCTCTCTTGGTCATGAGGGAGAGAGGCTTTCTTTACAAAAGAGTTGCAAAAGCTTGGTGCAATGCGTGTCAATGTCGGAAAAAAGGAGACCAATAAACGACAACTCCTAAATCTAAAGAGAGAATAAAGAAGCACCTCTAAGAGTTCTTGTTCGTGTTATGTTTATTCCCTGGAGCACACCTTTTATGTTCGGCCTAATGTAGTAGGTATGATCCTCACCTGAGAGTTTGTGCTTGCATAGTAATATGATAATAACATTCATTAATCTCCGTCTACTCTTCTTTATGCAATGAAGAACTAGAGTGCAGTACCCATTGATTTGTTTATCATGTTGCATTAGGTTTGAGTGGGTTTGTTGGGGGACAAGCAAACGCCTAAGTGTGGGGGAGTTTGATAACACCTAAATTGGTGTTATTTACCCTTCATATTAAGGTTTATTTCGTATTAATTCATGTGCATAATCGTTAAAATGTCGTCAATTGCATCCCTATTTTGTTCCTATTGGATTATGTCGTTATTTTAGGGTGCTTTAGATGATACATGTGAATTAGGTACAAAAAGGGGCAAAAATGAAGATCATGGCTGAAGGAACCAATATCCCAGCCATGAAGAAAGGGCATGAACTAAAATACAAGATCGCAGCCTGCAGAGCAAAGATCCTGACCATGATCTTCTGCCTCCAGCCCGTGAACTTGACCTGAAGATCATGGCCACAAACTTTGGAGCCAAGGGTGTGAACTTTAGAAGGGGCACCCCGGGAGAAGCAGAGAGTTTCCTCAATCGAATCATTGTCCAAGGCTTCCACGCCCGCGATAACGATCGCGGTCGTGACACCCCTGATCGCGACGAGGATGTTAGGCCGTAATCTCCACATTTTGCAAGAAGAAAATGGTGACTTTCAAAGATCGCAGCCTCTACCCCAAAGATCCAGGCCGCGATCTTTTGCCTCCAACCTGCGAACTTTCCCATAAGATCGCAACCTCAAGTTCAAGGGCGCGAACTTGTCCATGTCTGCAGATTGCCTATAAATAGAAGACCCCTTTCCCGCTTTTGAGTTGAGCTAATTTTGAGAGTAACTTTCTGGTTCTAGAGAGAGAAGCTGAAGGAAGGAGAAGAGAAGGATAAGAAGGAGGAGCTAGGAACAAGGAGGCATCTTCTTCACCCCAAGTCTTCTTCTATTTCTACCATGTATCTTCTTCCCTCCTTTATGGAGTAGTCCTCTAAGGTACTAGGGGTTCTAAACCCCAAACCCTAGTTTTAGGGTTTACTATGTATATATGGATATTTTAGGGTTTGAATAAATGAATATGTTTATCTAGTTGATGTTAATGCCACTCTTTCCTAAATGATGACGCTTGGGTAATTTGCCCTAATCTTCACTCTTAGCCTACTTTATCCTACCGCTCTGGGTACAGAGTTCTAGGGTTCGATGGGTATGCGCCATCTGGAGAGTTTAGGTTAGATGTGTGAATGGTGGATAGTGTCCATTGGGATGAGCCATAATTGTAATGCTCCGGATACGATAGCCTAGATCGAGGTGACTAGAACATGGGTTTAGGGGAGGAGTACTAGGAGGCATGTGGATAACCACGAAAGTCCACGGAAAAGAATTTACTAAGCAAATTCGATAACCCTAAGTATCTAGATATGAATAGTGACCCTAAGCTAGGAGGAGGTATAGTTCCCCTAAGTATCTATTTTTAGCTTTGATCAATCTTTAGACTAGTGTTTCCTCCTATCCTCCACTCAAAACCTCAAAAACCGATTAACTAATTAGCAACTAGGTGGGAAGTAGGCTAGGGTACCAAGACCCGAGTAGAATATGACATTGATTACCACTATACGACAATGTCGTTCTAGGTTAAACTTGGCCTAGGATGGGATAGTTGTTGATACATGCTAACCTCTGACAATAACGTGCACGGATTCAAGTAATCAAAACGGCTCCATTTTATGGCGGATTTCAGGGGAATTGCCTGCCAGCGAATTCAGGGAAACTTCTTACCGGCGGATTGAAAGATACTTATGTTTTAGGGTGGAAGCGACACTGACGACAGAGAGAACTTTTGAGAAACCTTCGACTTAAACCTGCTAGTCGCGTTTAAGATGGTATTGAAGAAATTTATTCGGTGTATTGAGGAAGAAAGAAAGCAAGAAGTGGAAACAATGAGATGGGGGTGATGGTGGCGTGAGAAGTGTTCAGGGAGGGATTGAGGTGATGCGGCTTGTACTAAACCCTATAATTTTTTGAGTTAACATTAGACGCTTCTTGGTGGGCTTCTTTCTCTTTTATTTGGACTAGCAAATATGGCCGCAGGTTCGCAGCCCAACATTGCGGTAAAATGAATTCCAAATTTTCATTTTGTTTATATTTAGTTTCTTGGACTTTGGAATTTGGAAATTGCAAATATAAATATCCTACAAGTTGTTTTTTCCAGCAGGTAGCATTTTTCTAAATGAATAATAGAGTGTCTTTCAAAACCAGCTTAATCCAAATCAACCCCGATTAAACCATCGAACCTCAAACCCCTTGCCAAACCGGCTCGATGACTCAATCCGGTTTGACAATCTTGCTTATGAGAAATCAAGTATACCATATGAGTTGGCTTGTTGATAATTCAAAGGTCTATTAATTAAATTATATATCTTACATCTTTATGATTTTGAGTGTGTGGGAAAATATGTTTCATATATGACATGAGGTTACACATGTATCATATATGAGATATAAATATTAGGGTTTAATTTATAAATTATCATACCGTTGAGCTCGAGCCCAACTCCTAATCTTAATGATGAGTCAAGTAGGTTTTAATAAATGAGCAAACTTGAACACGACTAGACTCAACTCATATATAATTGAGTCGAGCCCAGCTTAAGCTCGAATCGTTTATTAACAAGCCAAAACTAAACAAGGAAAAGGTCGGTGACTCACTCTAACTATCACAATAAAATCCCACCTAAGGTGCAAGTATAATCCTTAGATGGGTGCAATATAAAAAGTATGTTTAAATATCGACCCAGGCCGGTCCATGTACCACTACTTCGACTGTTTGAAACATTATCTAGCGGATTGATTTTGGTGAAAACAAATATTGAAAACTAAATTACTCTGCAAAGGTAAAAATGGATTTGACTCTAGTTGAGAAAGCTTCACCCGTGTGTTGCTCCCCCTAGCTAACAACTATGACTCGAAGAATCGAACGACCGTGTGTGGTTAGGGGTTCATAAACTGTAGGGAAGTCTAGCAAGCAACCGAAGTTACCCTCTTAGATTCTATGTTGAGGAATGAGATATGATCCAAGCCACTTATGTGACCCTCTCAACCTATTGACTAAGGATTAGTTAGACTTCACCCTCGAATTGGAGTTTGAATGGCCCCCCACAGCCAAACCCTAAGTGTTTAATACGAATTGAGAGGTTTTCCCTCTAACTAACCTAGACTAGGAGGCATAGAATGCCCAAGAAACCCATCTCTAAAAGAGCCTCTTAAGTTAAGGGGGTTTCTCTCTAAACTAGGTTAGAATGGCAATTAGATTGATATGCTTTCACACAACACAATCATTTCTGAATAATACCTCCACATTCATATTCAAACACATCCAGACACAAAACATTCAATTCATACAAGAATTCACATAATTGTAGCTAGGGTTTACAAAAGCCCAAGTGAAATAAGGGACTACTCCATCATGAAGAGGCAAGCCTTGCGCCTTGTGCTGAAGAAAATCCAAATCCTTGCTTGGATATCAAACCCTAGCTTTTCCTCTTCTTTGGTTCGTCACTTTCTCACTCTGAAATCTGAAGAAGAAGAATTTTTCTCACTCTCGGTCTCTTCCCCTCTTCTTCCTTTCAGCTCCACACTTAAACCCAGATCGAGTTGAGTTCACGACCTTTTAGTTCACCGCCGTGAACACCTAAACGCGTCCGTAAACTCAGTGTCGTCTCCAAAATGCACCGCTTCACTCGTTAGTGTTCACGTTTTGCACTCAAAGTTCACGGTCTTAGAGACCGTGAACTGCCTGGTCGTCAGTAACCTCTGGAACCCTCCTGGACACCTCGTTGTTCACAATTTGTGGTTCCAGTTCACGGCCTTAGAGGCCGTGAACTCCAATGCCAGGTCGTGAACTGCAACTGATTCCTCCTCTTTGCCCGGCCTTCGCTCCATTTCTTCCAACTTTCGACTCCGGGGGTTGGTTTCACCTGTTAGGATCTGAAACACACTGAACCTAGCGTAAAACCAACATTTTAGGAGTTCAAATGTCACAAACGTCAAGTGGAAACGGGGGTAAAAAGTGTGCAATTAGGCCCGAGTCAGTCTGCTTGACTCGACTCATTAACAGCCCTAGGGGGATGTATTACCCGACCTCTAATAGTGTGAGGCTGGTATTACCGATCCGCAGTAGCATGAGGCGAGACATGTGTATTTACTTCTGACCCACCGTGCCTCGTCCGCCCCGTTTTTGTCTTTTCTTCAACAAGTTAGACTTTATTTTCAACTAGTTAGACTCAATTACCCATTCTATTATCACTATTTTTTATTCATAAAGTGTTTTTCCTTCATTTTATCGTTAAAAGTAAAATTTTGCGTGTATTATTTTGGGCAATGTCTATTTTTTACCCAAACCTTTCCAAAATTCTTTTATTTTACCCAAACCTATAGAAATTCTATTTATTATCCAAACCTTAACACATCGTCAACTTTTCCGTTAATATTGCTGACTCAACATCACAAATCTGAGTTGGCTTCTGACGTGGCGGTCAACATATCATTTTATATTTTAATTAAAAAATAACAGAAAAACAAATTATTAAAGTGAATCGCCGTCCACAACACCCTCCTCTCCTCCCTTCAGTTTCTTCTCCACCATCGTCATGCTCTTGCACCGTAGAAATGTAGAAAAAAACCCCTAATCAATTAGCCTCTGTTTTTTACAATTTCTCGATGAAAATGTTGAATTGGGTAATTTGGGGGAAGGGTGGGACGAAGACGAACTTGGAAGGAGATGTGGTTGTCTTTATGGTTTATTTCGCTGATCTTAGACATGCTTTCTGGGTCTCCGGATTGAAGCAAATGGATTCCGATTCCGTAACCAAACAGCCTGCAAGAAGAACAGAAACCCAAAATCGAATCAGAACCCTCTGTTTTCCCTTCGTCAAAATCTCAAATTGGGGGAAAGAAGTTTTGCGTACCAGGCGCCGTCGAAGTCGAAGTCGAAGGAGCCAGGGCGGCGAATGGGGAAGAAGCCAAGAACGTGCTGGTAGAAATTGAGAGATTTCTCGACGGATCGACAGACGAGGGAGATGTGATTCAGCGACTTGAGCTGCAGAGGGTTGTTCATTCCTATGCCCATTATAATTCTTCTCACTTTCCAACCTCGGAACTCTTAATCGAACAAGTGTGGTGAAAGAAGGGAGAATTGCAGAAGGGAAGTGGGGAAGGAAGAGGGGGATTGATGACAGAGATGGTGGTTCCAGACCCAACAACCCTCTTCACGTTCGTCGACTGTTGGTGAGTATACTACTACTGACTGCTCGACTTCTCCCTGTCTCTCTTCTTCTCCGCTATTTCTGCCGTGACCGTGACGGACGCAACCCTCTGTTACTCCCCTCACGCGCCCCTTTTTCTGTCATTTTTCAAGTTACAGATATAGATTTTGGACTTTCCTCCGCTCCGCGTCATCGAGCTTCGTCGCCACTAGCGGAAGAAAGAATTGTGAAGGCGCAATTTGCGCGATTTGCAAGATTCTCCCTCTGCCCGATGAGGCTTCGAACGCCGGCGATGGAGGCATAGACTCGATTATCTTTCTGTGCGGTGATTCAATCGGCGGCGACGGAGGAAGATACGACGATTTTTGGGTTGTGATTTTTTATTAATGGAGAATGGCAACTCGATCTGCAATCCAGAGCTCACGGGCATGGAAATCGAGTGGAGTTGTAGGTGGAACGGTGGAGTACAGTGGGGAGAGAAGGGCTTATTTATTTAATGATTTTTTATTTTATTAATTTCTGATATGGACGCTGACAAGGAGATCCGTTAGTAAAAAATTACCGGTAACAGAACGAATGCTCAGACTATGAATAGATACCATACGTTTGGATAATAAATAGAATTTCTATAGGTTTGGGTAAAACAAAAGAATTTTGTAAAGGTTTGGGTAAAAAATAGACATTGCCATATTATTTTCAAAGAACATATAACAGCGGGTCAACCCACCCCACCCCGGCCCGTACTAGTGCGGGTGTTACCCACCCCAATCTATACTTGGTATGAGACATATATGATTATTGAGATATCTGTCGCGCACCTTTCCATTGCCATCGCTAATCACAATCTCACAAAATCATCACACCTTCCAAATCATAAGTACGACTATTGAATTTAAATGTCAGTTCGCAAGGAAACTAAAAGTTAATTGTCAAACCGATTTATACCGTTGTGCCAGTTTGACAAGTGGAATGGTACGACGATGGCATGACCATTTTGTGCCTGTTTAAAAAAATTTGAAAACGATTAATATCTTTGTGGACAATTTACTTTCAGTCCAACAAATACCATCAACTTTTAACTATTAAATTCATAAAATGAATAATAAATTAACCTTTTTATTAATTAAAGTTATTAAAATAATGTTATTTTACTTAGAATTCGTAAATCGATCATACAGGTCAATTGATGGTGTCACGCTGATTTCATGACAGGTTCAACCGGCGACAACCATGGTTAAGTGGGATGTTTTAACACTACCAGGAATTTATTGTTAGAGTTGTGCGATTGAGCGAAATAGGAGGGAGCCAAAGAAAAGCGCGGGGAGGGAAGAGAGAGCGATCCCGACAGAATGGAAGAAGGCGATGTGGATATGACCGGTGCCGATGCTAATGAAGCTGTAATGTCCCTCGTCTGACCTGCTCTTCCCTCTACCAGACCTACCCCTTTTGTCGCGTTTTGGCCCTCTGTGGATCAGGGAAAAACCCTAATTACGGTTCTGTTTTTCTTTTTGTGCTGATGTCGATTTCAGGAATTGGACGACATGAAGAAACGGTTAAAGGAAATTGAGGACGAAGCAGCTGCTCTGCGCGATATGCAGGCCAAGGTCGAGAAGGAGATGGGTTCTGTTCAAGGTGGCTAGTTCTCTCTTCCCTTATTCTATTTTGGAGTATAACGTTGGATTAGAAGAATTTGATAGACGGTACAGTGCGCGATGCACTGGAGGCTTATCTAGTTCATAGATGTGAAAATGGCTGTTCAATTGATTTCTTTTTTTCAAGTTTTATTTGATATCCAATCTTTACGATTGTGGTTGTCTTGTATGGTTTAGATTCTTACAAGTTCATATTTTTTTCATGACAAGTGGATGGATCCTCTCATTTCTTGTGGAGCCATGACTGAGATTCATTAGTCTATTTCATATTGTCCACTTTGTTGTAATTGACTTTGCATAGCTTTCGTTACCCCATATGCTATTCTGATGAGCTTTTGGTTCTCTGACCCGAGCTATGCTGTTATTTCTTTTTGTTTCTTTCATTAGCACCTATGTGAACTAGGTATGTTCACATTTGATTAGAAAAACAAGATGATGATTTAACTGAATCATGCTTTCACATGATAAGGCATGGACAGTACCTTAACTTCAGGAGGCTTTCATGATCTTACAACCTTCTTAGGTCCTACTTTTGCGAACCAGCAGTTCCTTTTTCCCCCTTCCTTTTGGGACAACCTGTAGTTGAAAGGAAGAGATGATGGATAAGAAGTGAGGGTTCATACTTGTATCATTATTTCGTCTCCTGTCTGCCATTTCTTGTTCATTCTTGTGGTGGCTACTCTGCAACTTCTTCACCATTTGGTAAACGAGTTAGACTTTCAAGATAGCAATCAGCTTACTTTTCCTTGCAATTTGTCCATAATCATTGCTTTTATGTCAAACTAGATCCTGGTGGTTCAGGAGCATCTCAAGCAAGCAGAGAGGAAGTAGATTCTCGATCAATTTTTGTTGGCAATGTGAGGCTTCTATTTACAGCTTGTTCAGTTATTTATTAATTAGATGAAATGTTTGATGCACTGGGCTAATCATCTCTATAGATCACTACAGGCACTTGAATATACCCTTGATTTCTTCCTTTCCCCTATTCATTGGGAAAACTTCTTTCTTCCTCTGGGTGTTTTCCATACATTACTCATTGCTAGCGTGTCTCTAGGATCCTCTGAAAATCAGATTGATACAGTTGTTATTCTGTTTACACTAGCAAATTGATGTGGTTTGTCATTATTGAATTGAAAGTTTGTTAGAGTTGTGTTTCCTGTGCATCGTTTCCCGCTTCCCACTAGGAGACGTGGAGGGGGATGAGAGTGGGATGGGTGGGGTTGGAATCCATGAAGTCTCCTTGTACCAATTCAGAAGCATTTTGACTGGAGTTAGTTTCATCCACTGGGTCTAGTCTGCTATGGACTAGCATGTGACCTAACTTGGATTCAGCTTAGAACCTGGTTCTGATGTGAGAATCTAATTAGAGCCTAGCCAGGTATAGGTGATGCTAATGACCATGAACCTCTGTATAACTTCAGAGGAGCGGAAGGAACTAGACAAATGCTTTACAAGTGAGACTGACTGGGGAGAACATGTAGCTTCAGTTTTTCTCAGCTTGTTATGATCCTCTTAACTTTAGATGTGGACGACTTCGTGAATTGTCTAGCGTCTCCTTTTCCAAACTGCCTAAGTTGAAAGTCCAACATCAGTTGAGTGTTCCATGAAGCAACTATTTGTTGAATTGTGCTTTGAGTAGTATTATCCTGGGTCAAGTGATATCCATTTGGTGGGAACTGTGCTTTGATTATTATTTATCCGGGTCAATCGATATCGAGGTAGCCAGGTTGGAAGGTAATATACTAATATGCATTATTGATTAGGCTCCAGATTGTTATTCAATCGTGGGGAGCAATAGGCTTGTCTGGGGGGGGGGGGGGGGGGGGGGGGGGGGGGGGGGGGGGGGGGGGAGTGAAGGGGAAAAATTTATGAAGGGATTGCCATGCATTATATATTCTGTCATGGTTTTCCCCCTTTTCAGCTTCAGCTTAATATCCAAAGTCCATACTAGTCTACTCTTTTTTCAGCATAAACTCTTGCTTTGCTTTCTCCATCCTGTACTAGGTTTAGTTTTATGCTTGAGCCAGTGGGTCAGGAAATTGATTTTCCACCCTTATATCTCCAAGGCCTTATTCTACAGGAACATAAGTTGAACTGAGGTATTTGAGATTTTACTGCTCTTGATTAATTTTCCTAGATGAGATGCCTACTCTATCAGCTATTTTGTTCCCCCCTCCTCTTTTGCTTGAGTTTGAGCTTCACTGGGACGTAGTCTTACAATTCTAGTTTGACCTTCTTCTTTGACTAAACTCGCAGGTCAGGCTTCATTCTTCGGGTCTCTGTGGTTTGTTAGTCGTGTCAATAGTGGTTGGGCGTGATAAAAACCGAGTGGGAAATTACGGGGGATGAAAACAATAAAAAGTATGGAGAATAAAATATTTGCATGAGTTGAAAATAAAATAAAAAAGGTAAAAGATGAGTAAGGTTAATGAGGAACCTTAAAAGAAAGAAAAAGAATGAGTAGCCCTTCAGATCAAGCAGAGGAAAAGGTCTACCTGACTGTCTGTTGAAAAGTTTGCTCAAATATCCAAATGAGATGTGGGGTGGAAATGGACGAGGGAGAAGGTGTAAGCGAACATTCACTCAGATCAAATCTGAGGAGTAATTCTGGGAGAATGGAGACTTGTGATGTAACAAAGCCAGACTGCTGGCTTTCCTGATGGTTATTGCGGAAGGAATAAGCAGATGTTTGCTGCTTATGGTGAGAGGTCTCCGATCTCTATATTTTCACCTCGATTGGGATGGATAGGGGTCTTCTATTTCTTTCTGCTTGTTTCTCTCCTTTCACAGTTAGAAACCAATACAAGTTATTTGTGTACTACTATCATGGTTTGTGGATGATTGCTGAGAAAATGATTTTAAGCAATTAGCTTTGGGCCAGGTGGTAAGGCTGATGTTTTTCATTGTTACATGATCTTTCTGCTGGCATGTGCTTCCATGCAACCAGTTTTTGATTGTTTTCAGATGCTTGTGCTTTAAAGAAAGCTTTATGTCTGAGTGAGACATGAAGGCTCATTGGCCTCATCTGCATAGTAGCACTGTCTCAAGATACTTTTCCCCCCCTCTGTCTTGGGTGTGTGATTGATGCCTGGAATGTCATTCTTGCAATGGTCTCTGGTTCTTTGTTTGTGTCTTATGGTGTTTCTATGATGACTTAAATGCTGATAGACTGTCGATATTTGTCTTCTCTGTTCCTAGCTATTACTAAGCAGGTATGTTTTTGTTACATCTATTGCAGGTGGACTACTCGTGTACACCGGAGGAAGTACAGCAGCATTTCCAGTCGTGTGGAACAGTAAATAGGGTCACTATTCGCACTGATAAGTATGGGCAACCAAAGGGTTATGCTTATGTGGAATTCCTCGAGACTGAAGCTGTTCAAGAGGCGCTTCAATTAAATGAATCTGAGCTGCATGGCCGACAATTGAAGGTCCTTTAATGTTAAGACTTTATCTTTTCTTAGATGTCTCATGATCTGCTTTTTCTCCCTCAGATATGTAGAGCTTATTAACTCCAATCCCTCTTCTTCTCTAACTGGAGACTCCTTTTCTGTTTCCCCCTTGTCTGCCTGTACTGACCTGCAGGTGACTGCAAAGCGGACTAATGTACCTGGGATGAAACAGTTCCGTCCTCGTCGAGCCAATCCATATGCTGGATTTCCACCGAGGGGTGCATTTGTAGCTCCCTATTTTTACCCTGCTTATGGCTATGGGTACACACTTCTACTGATAGCTACCTGGCTTAGATACTTTTCTGCTAAGAGCGGATGGTTTTGTGCTTAATTGCCTCTCTTCCTGTAGCTTGTTTGTGTTCGCATTCTTGTTCTATCCGGTATTTCTGATGAAGTGGTATTCGGGATGATGCTTGCAGGAAGATTCCAAGGTTCAGAATGCCAGCACGTTACAGCCCTTACAACTGAGATGCTGTCAGGGCCGAGGCAGCAAATTGGTAGCAGTCAGTCGCTTCTGCAGCGAATATAATGATCATTTGCTCAAGCTTTTTATTAAGATGGATGGTGATGAATTTACAATGTTGAATGGAAGATCGTGAGCCTTTAGGAGATGCATTGTGATGGGATCGTTTTGCGGTTTAAGAACTGTTTTATTTCGGGGATGACCTGGCGAGCCTTATTATCTGGTAATATTCTTTCGTTTCGTAATTTTCCGTTTGAAAAAGAGAAAAAAGCCCGGTTATCTTGTACTGCAAGCTTTCTTTTCTGGTTTGGTGGTGACTGGTGAGCAATGCAACCAAAATTACGATTCTATGTAGAAACGTTGGTCATCTATAAGCGTAAAAACGTAAGCTTTAAAGTCTAGATTTTAACTATAATTGCAAGTAAAAACCGTAATATTATATAGAAGCGTTTTGGTGACTTAAAAATGTAGAGGTGCAAGCTTTCCAGTTTTAAATGCGATTTTGACTAAATCGTAGTGAGGGGTTGGATTATGCTAAGAACATTGAGGTGAAGAACATTTTGAGGGCGTTAGTTTTCTTACGCACTGCCCGCCAGGGATTGAACAACAGAAAGCTAAAAGCCGAATTTTCATAGTCAAGCTATAATTTCCATTTCACTATCAATAGATAGTCCAATTGTTTTCAATATCAGGATTCTATTTAGGGATTTTAATCAAACTCATGGTCGTGGGTATCTGATCGCTCCCGACTTAGTAAACGCGGGGAATTCCTGCTTTGATCGGGCATGGGTAAAACTCGTAGAAAGTTTGATGGGTATGAGGCGGGTATAGTTTTAGCCTCCCTCGTTCTATACCAGGAGGAGGGTTGGACCCGGGCCTAGTGTGACCTAGCCCTTGATCCGCGGCTGTTAGTGTTCTAACAAATATATTTGTGAGAAAACTAAGCTATTTTATTCTATTTTTCTCTTCTGGTTTCCCTAACCTAATACATTCTTCAGCTTAATATTGGTCGTAGATTTAATGTAAGCTTTTATTCTCGTAATCTTTTGTGTACAATTTTAGAAGAACAATATATTATAAATGTGTTAACTTATAACCACTAGCTTATTTTGACAAATGTTTTTGAAAAAATGCTTGACATATGTTGAAGTAAATTGAATTTCATTAAAATCCAAACAATGTTAATGCATATTAATACTTTTCACCTAAATTTATTTGTTTAAATTTTGGACTAATTTCACTATAAAGCCCAAACAATTCAAAAATTGTCATTTGTGTCCTATACTATTCAATATGACAAATCTGGCACAAACTATTTTTCGTTAATGTTGACAGTCACAGACCGTTATTATTTATCAAAAAATCTAGTCAGCATCTGTGTGGTTTGTGCGAGATTTGTCATATTTAATAAGTTTAGAACACAAATGTCACAAACGCATAGTTTGTACCAGATTTTTTAAATTTAATAGTTTAGGACACAAATAACACTTTTAGTATAGTTTGGGCTTACTAGTGGAGTTCTAATTATTATGGATGGGTTTGGATTTAGTATTTTCAACATTGTAGTATACAGATCGTATTATTTAAATGACCAAACATGAACCACCCGACTCATGTACATCCTTAGTTTTCATTATTTCGCTCTTTTACTATTGATAGTAGATAAAATTCTAATACCTTCGTGTTATTTTCCTAGTGTCGTTTGTATGGAGGATTTTTTGCGAGGGATTTCACTCAATCTTACTTCATGTATAATTTTGTTTAAGTTTCTCGTTTGTTTAAAGAAATATGAAAAGTGATTTTGAGCTGTTGGATTTCGAAACCCACAACTGTTGAATTAAAAAATCACTAGCCTGCCAAAGGTCACATAGGCTAACGGTGAAGTGGCAGATCTCATGATTCCATCGAGGCTCGCTATGGTGTTCTTGGAGGCATTTAATGGAGATTCTCGTGGAGGGCCCAAAGGGCTCAAACAGGTGAACCTCCCAGGTTTGGTCTCGCTCCACCATCGCTCAAGCGGTGTGTGCGTAGCGATGTTTCTAAGTTATAAAAAAAAGAACTTTATTCACTGCTGACCCTCAACTATTTTAAAATCAATTATTTGACCCTTTCGAAGCTATCACTTTTAACTTGGGCTAATTCCATTAGAAAGCCCAAACTATTCTAAAAGTGTCATTTGTGGTATTAACTATTCAATATGACAAATCTGGCACAAACTATATGCATTTCGTGACATTTGTGTTTAAAACTATTCAATATGATAAATCTGGCACAAACCACATAAATGTTGACTAGATTTTATGTTAAATACTAACGGTCAGCGCCGGTCAACATTAACAGAAAAATAGTTTGTGCCAGATATGTCATATTGAATAGTTTAGGACACAAATAACACTTTTGGAATAGTTTGGGCTTCTTAGTGGAATTAACCCTAACTTTAATAAAACGCAACCACACAAATCTAATCCCTCTAATCTCTCTCTAACTCTGACGGTTTATTTCCTTTTGCCTCCCCTTTGAACCCTCATTTTGGAAGCGATCCCGAGTCTTTTTTCCATACAAATTATCCTAGAAGCTCGTTTACTCTCTATACACTAGCATCTATCAAGCTTTCGCTCGTTCTGCATCTTCTTGTCTCTCAACCTGAGCCGAACTGAGGTTTTGGTGGTTTGGTTGTGCTCGTTATTGTTGTTGTTTGTTGTGGTGTGTTAGCTTCGATGCTTCCAGTTTTGATCGTGGGTTTCACCAAAATTCTAGCCGACTCCATCATCACGACCATATTCTTAACAACAACAATACCATATTAAGGATTGAAGATCTATAACTGACAGTTTTCGAGCATCGTTGATACTTGGTGATTCTTTCTTTTAATCCTTCGACGAGCTTCATATAGCTCCCAACACACCAGAGCATCGAGAACAAGATCAGGTGGTGGCAATATGTCATCAAAGAACACTAGGATAAATTTGCTCAGGTTAGGGGCAAATATTTGGTTCATAATAGAGTGGAAGGTAGTTGGGGCATTGGTGAGACCAAAATGCATAAAAGTAAACTCAAAGTGGCCATGATAGTTCTAAAAGTTGTCATGTATTGGTCTGCAGGGTTCATTCTGATCCGGTGGTAACTAGAGAGTAAATCATGCTTGGTAAAGTATTTTGACCCTCTTAGTTCATCCAGTAGGTCATCAACAAACGAAATAAGGAATTTACCTTTAATGGTGAGAGCATTAAACTGCGTGTAGTCTACATAAAACTTCCAATGCTATATTTTTTCAAGACAAGTAAGGCTGGGGAAGCAAAAGGGCTTTTACTAGTTTGGACATAATGGGAAGCCATCATTTCCTTAACTAATCTTTTCATCTCAGTCTTCTGTTGGTAGGAAGAATATCTATAAGGTCGCAGATTGACTGGTTGGGCATTCGGTAGGAGAGGTATTTGGTGGTCACAAGGTCTGGAGGGTGGTAAGGAAGTTAGTTTATCAAACACATCCTTGTATGCATTCACTACAGACTTAAGGAAATGTGGAGTGTTGCCTAGAAACATGGTTGGAGTTCCTGAATTGGGAACTTCCTCCACAGTGATGCTAAAAAGTTGGCTTGTGCACGAAGGAACGATCTTCTTGAAGAACTGCTGCAATCCTTTTCCTTTCACTGCCTTGTCGCTGCCATTGTCTTGAAATCTAGGGGTGGGCAACGGGACGGGACGGGATACCCGTCCCGTTTTAAACGGGTACCCAGTCCCATTTGGAGGCCAAAGTCCTTCCCATATCCCAAACCCATATGGGAAACGGGTACCCATTACCCGTACGGGACGGATAACGGGTACCCATACTACCCATAAATACCCAAAGTTTAAACCACTCAAATTTTAACAAAAGTTTAAACTTAACTTAATAACTTGTACTTGCTTAACAATCACAAGACACAAATCATGAACAATCACAACGCATAGAAATAAATCATTCTAAGCACCAAATTATCAAATAAGAAGTTTCATTCAACACAACCAAAATATAAAATAAAAAGTTTTTGCTTCTGCAAGTTGCTGCTACTATTCCTTCTACAAGTTGTTGTGCTACTCGTCCTTCTACAAGCTACCGGAGTGCTGGAACTGTTGCGGTTCTCCCTTCTGGTGCAGGCTGCTGGAATCATTAATAACAGAGGAAGGGACAATAATTAATAACAGAGGAAGGGACAATGCCGACCAAATGCTGTGGTTCTCCCTTTTGCTATGATACAATCCACAGTGAACAGATCACAATTTATTTATAAGGACTGAAATATTGACCACAACAATACAAAAACAACAAAGTCCAAAACAATTGAACCCTCCTTATCAATTACAACAAGCCCATAAGAAGGTAAAACGTAAACAAAAAAAAGCAAGCAAGCAAACAAAATTTAACCAAAGACAACCTCCAGTGTAAACAGCATTACTCCATGGAGGTGAAAGTGAAAGCCGAAAGGGAATAGGCAGGGTAAGGGTCGACTAAGGGTAAGGGCCGAAATGGCCAAGGCCCAATGCCACATTTCTGAATTAGTGAATTGGGTTGGGGCGCTGGGTTGTGGGTTATTTCTGGTAAATGGGTATAACGGGTACCCACATTACCCAAACGGGTATTTGCGAGTAACCCGCGGGTACCCATATTAGGAATGTTCAATCCCAAGTCCCATCCGTTTATAATATTACGGGTAATATGGGTACCCGTAACCCTTAAAAAACGGGACGGGTACGGGTATACCCAAATACCCGTTTCCCGTTGCCCACCCCTATTGAAATCCAGTCAGAACCACTTCCTCCCCTTCAGTTTCAACGAAGAGCTGCAGGTTTAAGAAGTCAAACTTCACTAAACTCACAATCTAAGCCAATCCAAACCCAAAACCATATAATGAGAGCCCAACTTCGAGATCCTGATATCATGTGTGAACGGATGCCGAACCATTTCTCAAGTAAACCCCGTACAACTCATACTGCTCAACAATACAGTTCCATCACCCAACTTCACTATTAGAGGTGAAGCAGGAATCAAAGTTCAGCTGCCTTCTGTTCATATAAGAAGGTATGTGTACTTCCAGTGTTTACCAAGATATACAGTCCGTGCTTTCTGACCTTCCCCTTTACAACCAAAGAGTTGGCCAAACTACCACTGCTCAATATCTACATAGTCACTTCCAACTCATTTCCTTCCTCATCCTCACTCCAATCCACTGGAGATAAAACTCCTACACTTTCAGCCTGAATAGCATTCAATTGCCTCTTGGAATCACAAACATGACCATAGAAGTACTTGTCTTCACACTTGTATCAAGACCCTTTTG